AGCTCCCTGACCTCTAACACTTTCTTCAGCTCAGGTACACTACACATGGGCCACACTCTAGCAGAGACTCTGGTGACCCCAGGACTTACTCCATGGCATTAGAGTCCACGCTGCCTGATGTCTAGTATACTAGACAGCACTTCATGTATTTCTGCCCAGTTTTCTAGTCTTCTGAATTATTTACTCTATGGTGATGGACCAAAATATTCTCACTATAACATTTTGAGGCCAGCGAGAATGGCTCAGTAGGTGGACACTTGCCACACACACACATAATGACCTGAATGTGACCCCACGAGCCCACGTGTAGGTGGAGATACCGAACTCTACAAAGCTGTCCTTCATGTCCACACCATGAAACGTTAGCACACGTGTATAATATCATTTTTAAAGACTTGTTTTTAAGCATGTGTCTGTGTGTGCATGTGCATGTGTGTGTACATGTGACTGTGCTGGTGCCCAAGAAGGATCCCGGGAGCTGGAGTTACAGGTGCTGGGATTTAAACCTGAGTCCTCTGCAAGAGAAGCAAGCACTTAATTTAACTTCTGAGCCATCTCTCTAGCTCCTAAAATACAATTTAAATTTTGGCCTTAAAACTAATCTGAGGTATTAAGTTGTGCCCTTAACGGAGCAGTATTCTAATTCAAGAAACATCTGAAAGGACCCGACACACCCTTGGTCATTAACACGGACTATTCCTGGTGCTACGGTTAACAGGGTTTCTTCTCATTCAGTCTTTCTCCGCATGACTTGGGTGGTTTGTGTCTTTGCTGTTGTTTTCAGACTGTTGTCTGCAGTCCTGGCTGACCTGTAAGTTGCTATAGACCAGGTTGATCATGAACTCACACAGATCCCCTGCCTCTGCCTCAAGAGGGTGAGGATCAAAGAAGTGCAGTGCACTCCCGTGCCTGGCTTGATGAGCTACTTACCCGCATCTCTTCCCGTTAGATGTTGTCAGCACTCTCACAGGCCTAGTTATGTGGATTTCATTTGTTCTAACATATTAAATAAACACTTACTGAGAGCCAGCCTGGTGTGGTGGTGAAGTGCCTGATATTAAACTCTGTTCCTCCTTTTACCAGTTCTGTGGCCAGAGACAAGGCCCTTAACCTCTCCATGCCTCAGTTTGTTCATTCATCAGTTAGTGGACAAAATGGGCCCTCCCTCAGGAGCACTATGTCTGTATCTGATGGAAGAGCCCCTAATAAAGTTCTTGGTGCAGTGTCTGGCACAAGGAGCACCTCTAGGTCACACACTACAACACTGTCACACAGCACAGGAGGACCTCTAGGTCACACACTACAACACTGTCACACAGCACAGGAGGACCTCTAGGTCACACACTCAACACTGTCACACAGCACAGGAGGACCTCTAGGTCACACACTACAACACTGTCACACAGCACAGGAGGACCTCTAGGTCACACACTACAACACTGTCACACAGCACAGGAGGACCTCTAGGTCACACACTACAACACTGTCACACAGCACAGGAGGACCTCTAGGTCACACACTACAACACTGTCACACAGGAGGACCTCTAGGTCACTCTACAACACTGTCACACAGCACAGGAGGACCTCTAGGTCACTCTACAACACTGTCACACAGCACAGGAGGACCTCTAGGTCACACACTACAACACTGTCACACAGGAGGACCTCTAGGTCACTCTACAACACTGTCACACAGCACAGGAGGACCTCTAGGTCACTCTACAACACTGTCACACAGCACAGGAGGACCTCTAGGTCACTCTACAACACTGTCACACAGCACAGGAGGACCTCTAGGTCACTCTACAACACTGTCACACAGCACAGGAGGACCTCTAGGTCACACTACAACACTGTCACACAGCACAGGAGGACCTCTAGGTCACTCTACAACACTGTCACACAGCACAGGAGGACCTCTAGGTCACACACTCAACACTGTCACACAGGAGGACCTCTAGGTCACTCTACAACACTGTCACACAGCACAGGAGGACCTCTAGGTCACACACTACAACACTGTCACAAAGGAGCACCTCCAGGTCACTCTACAATTAAGAACCCTACCACAGTACTAAAAATGTACAAGATCCAGCATAGACACTGGGCAAGAATGAGTAAGACATTTTAAAATAAGAGTCAAGGAGTTCATGACACAGTAAAGGGCACACAAGAGTAATTGCTTAAGGATTAAGAACAAATAAATCGTCTGATAACATTTACTGAGCACTAAATACCTTTACTTGTCATTTAATCTTAGAAGTGTCCTCTTGAATCAGAGACCATTACTATGTCCGTTTTACAAATAGGAAATCTGTTGGCACAAAAATAGACAGGTAGACCAATGGAATCGAATTGAAAACCCGGGTATTAACCCACACACGTACGAACATCTGATCTTTGACAAAGAAGCTAAAAATATACAATGGAATAAAGAAAGCATCTTCAACAAATGGTGCTGGCATAATTGGAGACTGGCATGTAGAAGAATGCAGATCGATCCATGTCTATCGCCATGCACAAAACTTAAGTCCAAATGGATCAAAGACCTCAACATAAATCCAGCCACACTGAACCTCTTAGAAGAGAAAGTGGGTGGTACCCTTGAACGAATTGGTACAGGAGACAGCTTCCTGAACATAACACCAGTAGCACAGGCAGTAAGATCAACAATTAATAAATGGGACCTACTGAAACTGAGAAGCTTCTGTAAGGCAAAGGACACAGTCAGCAAGACAAAAAGGCAGCCCACAGAATGGGAAAAAATATTCACTAATCCCACATCTGACAGAGGGTTGATCTCCAAAATTTACAAAGAACTCAAGAAGCAAGTCTCCAAAACACCAAAGGACCCTATTAAAAAGTGGGCTGCAGAACTAAATAGAGAGTTTTCAATAGAGGAGTCTAAAATGGCTGAGAGGCACTTGAGAAAGTGCTCAACATCCTTAGCCATCCGGGAAATGCAAATCAAAACAACTCTCAGATACCATCTCACCCCTGTCAGAATGGCTAAAATCAAAAACACCAATGACAATTTATGCTGGAGAGGATGTGGTGAAAGGGGGACACTCTTCCATTGCTGGTGGGAGTGCCAACTGGTTCAGCCACTTTGGAAATCAGTGTGGAGATTCCTCAGAAAAATGGGAATAAACCTACCACAAGACCCAGCAACTCCACTCTTAGGCATATATCCAAAAGATGCCCATTCATACAACAAAGATGTCTGTTCCACTATGTTCATAGCAGCTTTATTTGTAATTGCCAGAACGTGGAAGCAACCTAGATGTCCCTCACCTGAAGAGTGGATAGAGAAAATGTGGTACATCTACACAATGGAGTACTATTCAGCAGAAAAAATAATGGAATCATGAGATTCGCAGGCAAATGGATGACACTAGAAGAAACCATCCTGAGTGAGGTAACCCAGTCACAAAAAGAGAAACATGGCATGTACTCTCTCATATATGGATTTTAGACATAGATCTGGGGAGTGCCAGCCTACAATCCTATGGCCAGAGAGTCTGGGAAACAGAAACTTTATTTAGTGGCTGATCGAAGAAGAGGCAGACTCCCTTGGTTAAGTACTGAGCTGAACTCAAGAAAGCCAGTAACAGAGAGGGAGGACTGATGATCAAAGGGATTAAGACTGGGCTGGTTTAACCCCCAGAAACAGCTGACCAGACAAAGGTTAACTCTTGAATCCCAGGCATTAGCCTGGGAAGCCAGCATGGGACTGATCAAGACCCCCTGAATCTGGGTGTCAGTGAAGAGGCCTAGGGAATCTATTGAGCCTTGGGCTGCAGATCAGTACCCATCCCAAGTATACACACGGACTTTGGACTCCAATAGAACAATGTGAGGTGCACTCTCACCCTGAACTCTTGGGGAAGGGTCTAGGCCCTGCCCTACATGAAATGACACACTATGGACACCCCCATGGAGGGCCTCACCCTCCCTGGAGAAATGAGGGGATAATGGGGGGGGGCCGGGAGGGCACGGGAGGAAGGGAGGGAATGGGAGAGGGACCTGGAACTGACTTGTGAAGCAACCTTGATTCTTATCTAAATTTAAACTGGAAAATAAAATTAAAAAAAAAAACAAATAGGAAATCTGAGTATTTGAAAGTTTATGCAGTTCCCCAACTACTAGTCACTCAGCTAGAATAGAGCTAGGATCTGAATTCAGGTAGTATAATTCTAGAGCAAGAGTAAACTGGCTCACCACAGCATAGTTGAGGGCATAAGCTCTGGAGTCACAAAGTTACAACCGTGCCTCGGGAGGGCAAGGAAGAGATAACATTCAGATTGTGCAAATTTCACCACCCAGAAGCAGGAGGAGGGAGAGAACTGAGGATGAAACGGCAAAGCTCACAGACTTTTCTGCTGGGCTCACAACATGAAATGCTCCGGGAGGAGGTGGTGACGAAACCAAGAGTCACTGGAGGCTCAGGAGTGTGTGCTCCATCCTGCAGAGTAAGTTCCAAACTTCTCCACACCACCATGGTATGTAAAGAAGATGGAATCACCCGGCAATGGTGGCAACACCTTTAATCCTGGCACTTGGGAGGAAGAGGCAGCAGGGTCTCTCTGAGTTTGAGGCCAGTCTGGTCTACGGAGCTGGGTCCAGAATAGCTAGGGCTGATACACAGAGAAATCCTACCTTGAAAAACAAAAAAAAAAGAAAAAAAGAAAATGAAAATTAAAAAAAGAAGAAGAAAGAAAAGAAAATGGAATCTGGCACTGGAGATTAAGAGGGTAAGAGCGCTGTCTGCTCTTTTAGAGAACCAGTGTTCAAATCCCAGCACCCACATGGAAGCTCACAACTGTCTGTAACTCCAGTTCCAGAGGATCCAAAACTTCCCACGGCAAACCACTAATGCACATAAAAAATAATAGACAAATAAAAATAAAAGGGAATCTGCACGGTAGATTGTAATAGATAAATGTCTCCACCTACTGCTGGTAACACAACAGATGAGAGGAGCCAGGACCTACCTACCTGCCCTCATCACTGGAGTCCCGGAGATTGGATATGAAGGGAGGCAGGGAGGCAGGGAGGCTGTAGTGGGTTCCAGTTTAGATGACTGCAGGACAGAGGGCAATGTAGGGAGGAGACAGAGAATTTAGGAAGGGAAGGTAAAGGCCAAGGGGAGAGACAACAAGTCTGTGGGGAGATGCTGAGTCATCTGCCTGCCAGACCTTCCGAAGATGTTTTGTAACACACTGCCTTGCCCGAGGTCTGGAGGAAGACCTACCATTTATCTGACTCATCAACCAAAATCCTTGTTTTCTTACCTTAATTAATCATTACCTTTGGAGCTGTTTCCAAGTCCTGTCCAGTGTCTTTCAGATACATGACAATGACAGATAGTTTAGGGAATTGGGCCTATTGGTTTGAGGAGAAAGCAGAAGCATTAGAAGAAGTCAGAGAGATGTGTATCATTTAGAAAAGGTGACAAAAAATGCCCCTGGTGTGCCCTTACAGGAGCATGATTTGGAATGGTTGTTACAGGTAGAGGGACCAGGTGGTGGTGAACCCTGGGCTTGCTCAGTCCTCAGGAAGGGAAGGTGCAATTATGCAACACTGAATTCGCCCAGGCCACGAGGGTCAAGTTGCTGACAGTACACAGTACTTGAGATTGCCTAGAGTGGAAAGCAATGTCTCTTTTCCTAAGCATTAAAGCAAAACCACCATTAACACCGAGGTTCAGTACTAATTCTGAATGTGACCAATGACAAGGAAGTAGTGTAAGGAGAGAAAGCATGACACCCCAAAAAAGAAAAGTGATCTCAAGAGATTGGTATATAACAACTGTGGTTCTGCCATGTGGAGAACACACCAACATTAAGATTATGTTTTCACGTGTATGCTGACTATTCTGTAACTAAACAGAGCACTGTAGCCAACACTGTAACGAGTTTACACTGCTGAACATTACAGAAGGGTGAGAGATACTTGCTAATAACTACCATAAAAGGAACAGATGACTAAGAACAGAGAGGAAGTATGACTAAAAAGTCCCTCCATTTTTTTTAAAGTCCCTGAATAACTAGGCATACCAAATGTAGTCTGTCATAAAATTATTCACTGCTAAATTCTGCACTTAGACAACAAATATAATGTTTGCCCAAGGGCTAAAGCCTTTGTATAAACCATTTCAATTGCAAAGCGCCAAAATAATAAGACCATCAATAAGAGAAAGTGTTATTCAAACTACGCCAGCTGGGTTGGACTGGGTTCACACCCGAGGACTCCTTCAGTTCAGAAGCAGAGACCACTGTACACCTGGGGCCACCGCCACACCAGAAGACAATCTCACAGAACCTCAAACACTGGGAAACCCTTGCTGGCACACCTTTGGTACGCAGATCAGCTTATACCACAGCTATCCCCAAGCTGCAGCTTCCAAAAGAGACGGAGGTCTGGGACCACAGCTCGGTGCAGGCTCTTGTTTACCACCGACGCAGGCCTAGCGTTAGAGCCCAGTAGCCAAACTACACAAAGCAGTCAACAAGCCCACGCCAGCCCGTGTTTGGAAATGTAGCCTGGCTTATTTGCCTGTTTTGTTTTTGTTTCTCAAGACAGGGTAACAATCCTGGCTGTCCTGGAACTCTCTGCAGACCAGGCTGGCCTCGAACTCACAGAGATCCGCCTGCCTCCTGAGTGCCGGGATTGAAGGCGTGTGCTACCACACCACCAGCACACTTGTTTGGGGTTTTTTGTTTGTTTGTTTTTTTGTATTAATACAACTGTCTATGAATATCCTAGACCTCAAACAATATTCTAAGGAAATGGTACTTTCCTCCCAACAGCAACTTCACACTATTACGGAAACAGTTACGGCTATCATGTGAACATTTACCCTCAGACTTTGAAGTCATCATATCATGCCCCCTCCCCCCGGAAGGCACACACAAGACCCATGTTTGTTTCATGACAACACATTGCTTTCTTGATGGTTTTCTTCTTGTTACAGGACATTACTGACATTCTTGAGAGAAAATGTGTTGAGCAAGGGGTGACTCACACAGGGAAATGGCCTCAAGTGATTTTAGGACTGTCTTGTAGTATACATAGAAGTGACTTTCTATGGCATGTGATTGGACCTCTAACCATGTCTATATCAGATATCACACAGGATTATAACAAAATGTACATCTTCACCATGTATGAATCTTGTATATTAAGAATCCATGTTCCCTGTGTACAATAAAAAGGCAGCATCTTTCATTTATTATAATTAATTATAACCCAGGCTGGCCTCAAACTCCTGATCCTCATGACTCCGCAAATTCAGCATACCCTACTGAAGTTTGCCACTACAACTGGCTCATTTATTATGATTATAGAGAGTGTTACTTACTTTCCTCATTGGCATTTTATTGACTGATTGGTTGATATTGATTTTTGTTTTTTTTTTTAAAGTAGGCTCTCATGTAGACTTATTGGCATTTACTTACTGATGCACAGTAAGAAAAAGCAGATTTAATGAATACATTCTAGTGCTCTTAGCTGCTGACCCATCCCTCCAGCACCTCACACCCCCTCCTTTTTTTTTTTCTTTTTGTTTTTTTGTTTTTTTTTTCAAGACAGGATTTCTCTGTGTAACAGCCCTAGCTGTCCTGGAACTCTGTGTAGACCAGGCTGGCCTTGAACTCAGAGATCCTCCTGCCTCTGCCTCCAGAGTCCTGAGATTAATGGCATGTATTACCATCACCAAGCTTCAGTCCCTACCTTTTTATGCTTTTTCTTTTCCTTCTCTCTGTGTGTGTGGAGGAAAGGGGTGTACATGCCACAGGTGTTCGGGGTGAGGACAATTTTAGGAAGTTTTGGTTCTCTTTCTATTCTTTGGGTCCCAGGAATTGAACTTAGATTGTCAGCCTTGGTTGCAAGCTCCTTTACCTGCTGATGACCTATCTTACCTTGCAAGTTGTAACAGCAAGCAAACAAATATAGGAAGAGTCTGGCATGGCAAAAAAAAAAAACAAAAATGTATATTGTTTGTCGCTGAGACTCCGACATCCAGCACATAGGAATCAGGAAAGATGACATTGACAGACGACACAGACTTCCTGTTTATGCACCAGTACAGTCCCTGGCACAAACCAACAACACTGTAAGATACTCTAGCACTGTGCTGCTTATAAAGAATCAACAAGAAACGGCACAAATGCCCAATAATATGGCCTTCTGAACAGAGCACCAATGCTAGAATACTATGCTACAATGGAAAAAGATAATCTATAGTGCCAGAAAAAGTGAAGGGAAAATTAGCAAAACCAAAAACAGACCGACAACACTGACAGAATTTATTCATATATGTATGTATACACACACATACATACATATATACACTAAGGAAGACAGGAGTTTAGAAGTTGGTTAGTGACAACACTGACAGAATTTATTCATAAATATATATGTATACATATATATACACACACACACATACATACATATATACACTAAGGAAGACAGGAGTTTAGAAATTGGTTAGGGTTTTTTTGGTTGTTTTTGTTTTTTTGAGACAGGGTTTCTTTGTGTAGCTCTGGCTGTCCTAGAATTCACTTTGCAGACCAGGCTGACTTTGAACTCAGAGATCTGCCTGCCTCTGCCTCCCAAGCGTTGGGATTAAAGGCATGTGCCCAGCTGTTTTTTATTTTATTCATTCACTTATTTATTTAGGTTTTTCCAGACAGGGTTTCTCTGTGGCTTTGGAGGCTGTCCTGGAGCTAGCTCTTGTAGACCAGGCTGGTCTCAAACTCACAGAGATCTGCCTGCCTCTGCCTCCCGAGTGCTGGGATCAAAGGCCTGTGCCACCAATGCCTGTCTTGTTTGTTTTTTGAATTAACATTTTGCCAGTAGGTTCTGTGTGAGGAGACTGAACAGGACACCCGTTAATGGCTTGTGCAAACACGTATTATCCTTGAAAGCAGGAAAGTAACAAAATACACACACAGGCAGGCACAAACCACACACATAGGCACACACAGAATTAGTACAATTTCCAAAGAAGTAAAATTTAATATGGAGATGGCTAAAACAAAAGAATTTTAATCTATTCACATGACAGTGAAGGCCTAAAAACTTAGCCTGTCTGCCAACAAGGAGCAAGACCCCACACTATACGCCTTTGCAATTCTTGCACAGAAGCAACAAGACAGTGATTTGGACCCAACCTGGGTTGCAAGGCAAGAGCCTGTTTCCAAATGCCAAGGTAACATAGAGTCTCCGTTTTCCTTCTAGAGGACAGGTCTAGATTATCTACCAAAGAAAAATGGTTTGTCTTCCCGTGCTCTTCTGAACTGTGCACAGCAAGCTACGGCAGCTAAGACACTTGGAGGGAAGAAGCAGCAAACAAGCTCAGAGGGCTGCTGCCTCCTGTCAGCACCAGGGCACCGTGCAGCCGGGCAGCAGTGTTTGCTCAAGCACAAAGAACACCTCTTGAGCTCGCTACTTACTTGAGCACCTAAGGCGAAAGAGGAACGACGGCTGCTGAAATCGCTTCCGCTGTGGATCTGTCAGAATGAGGTTTGGCCGGTCTCTGCTTCATCCGTCATTGTCCGTCGCCCCATCTCCAGGCTCGTGGCCCTGCCCCTTCCCACGGGGACACACTTCTAAAGTGAAGCCTCTCTTGCTGGGCCCCACAACCGAGACCTGAGCTCTAGCAGCTCGTCCTTCCCATCTCTGGCAGGTCCGCCTTCAACACCAGAGCACCATCTTTTCGGGTGGAAGCAATCCAAGGGTAGGGACTACTTGCCATTCCTTTGCCTTGGTGCAAAGATTGACTGTGTGCCCTGGCAGCTGCACTTGCTTTGTTCTGAGTTTTAAGAGTGGTGTCTTTAGGTAGGTTCCACCCTTTCGTAGTGGCTGCTCTGTTCCTTCTCACAGTACGCATCTAACCTTGGCCAGCAGCTCTTTCATGCAATGCCTGGCTGCGAAGGCATGATTATCTCCCGGGCCACAGGTCATTCTAACAGAACACTGGCCTTACAGTCTAACCCCACACTATGCTCACAAGGCACATACCATCACTACAACCAGCTCCCTGTCCCTGGCTATACCCTGACACAGTCCAAATTATTTTCATGCTGCTTTATAATGGGTGATCAGAGGAAAAGACAGGAAGTGACATGAACATACTATGAGTGATGCTGATGCTGGCCCCATACGGTCTCACTTCGTTTGAGGCAAGGTCTAGTGTGTAGCTGTATTAGTTACTGTTCTCACTGCTGTGACAACAGAGGAAGGACTTGGTTTGGCTCTTGGATTAAGAGGGTTAGTTCCAGCACGGTAAGGGAAGGCTCGGTGGGGAGAGGATGAGGCACTTACTTCACTAAGTGCAGTACAGAGAAGACGGGCACCAGTGCTCAGCTTATTGTCCTCTTTGCCATCATTACAGGACCCCAGCCCAGAGAGATGCCACCCTTATTCAGGACAGATCTCTGCCAGCTAAGACACATTCAAAGTACGCCTCACTAAGGCCCTAGGTGCCTCTTAATACTATCAAGTTGACAACCAAAATTAACTGTCAGAGTAGCCCAGGCTGGACTTAAACTTGGACCAATATTCCTACCTCACCCTCACAAATGTTGGAATTACAAGCTTGCTCTATCATGTCACACAGACTAAGGTCTTAACTATTACGCTTTCTTAAAAATAGCTTTGGGCACCAAGTGGTGGTGGCACACCTTTAGTCCCAGCACTCGGGAGGCAGAGGCAGGCAGATCTCTGTATGTTCAATACCAGCCTGGTCTACAAGAGCTAGTTCCAGGACAGCCTCCAAAATCACAGAGAAACCCTGTCTTGAAAAAAAAATAGCTTTGGGCTAGTAAAACATATAAACACAAGGCCAGACTTATTGGCACACACCTATAATCCCAGTACACATGAGGCAGAGGCAGGGAGAACAGGAATTCAAAGTTATCCTTGAGTATACAGCAATTTAGAAGACAACTCGGGCTTCATGACAGCCTGTGTCAAAACATATACATACTATACACTTCGCGCACACACATACAAACACACACACACAGCACACCAGAAATACAAATACAGTGAGACATGCATTATCATGAATTTAATTCTCAAATTCAATTATACATGCTCAGACTACAAAAGAAAACTGGAAAAAACAATCTAGGTAGTATTGTTATCCACTCTGTACTTGAGTGCTTTTCCTCAGCAGCCTGAGTACTTGTCCTTAACAATATTGAATTAAGCTGAGTAAATTCTGTTAGTGTAGAATCACTTTGTTTGTTGAGACAGGGTTTCTCTGTGTAACTCTGGTTGTCCTGGAACTAGCCTTGTAGACCAGGCTGGCCTCGAACTCACAGAAATCTGCCTGCACCTGCCTCCTGAGTTCTGGGATTAAAGGCATGTGCCACCACCACCTGGTTGAGAGTCCCATTTTTTCCCACTGATGTCAGAGTATGAATAACAACTATCTCCACTTGCTGCTGGAGAAGCTGTCCCCTTGAAGATGGGATGCCAGTCCCCACCACTTGCCTTCCTAAGTAATCTTTTTCTTTTCTTTTCTTTTCTTTTTTTTTTGGTTTTACGAGACAGGGTTTCTCTGTATTGTTTTGGAGGCTGTCAGTCCAGCCCGGCCTCAAACTCACAGAG